CACCGTAGCAGATTTGCTGCGGGAATAATTCCTTTTGAGGACACACCTGAGTTTACAGAGGTTGCTGAAGCAACAGGGGTTTACCTCAAGATTCGAGATTTACTGAAAGGCTCCCCAAGAAATCAGGCCAAGAACAAGAAATAATCGAAGTCGTCTGTTTTATACTGCCCACCTGTGGACAAGAAATTATTATTTTTTTCTCTTATTACAGTCCTTTTGTATGTAGTTTTACTTTGGTGCTTTGTATCTTTTTACTGCTATTGTGTGATTTTTAAAAACACAGAAAGGTTACATTTGGTTTGTACCTAAATATTAACTGACTGTGGGTACTTGTTCTGTGTGTAGATGTTTTTTTTTTTTAATTCTTGTTCCGCTTTCTGTAATTACAAATGTTACTCCTACATCTCATGCCATGCTGATTTGTATGCCTGCCATAGATCATCTGTATAATTTATTCTGAATATCTTTCAGTGTAAATTTCTTAAAAATTCTCACTGAATTAAAAGTTTTAACTTGACCTTGGTAGTAAAATTAAATCACTGCACTTTAGATATATTTCCCAGTTCTTTTATTGATGCATTTCTTTGCTTCTTATGCTCTACCTCTTTTACCTCATTTTTATTTATTTTTGTCTTTTTTTAGCCGTTTGTTGCCAACAGCTTATTACTTTATTTTTCCTGTTGCAAACTGGTGTTATAGCTAGGAATGTCCCACATTCAGAAAAGGTTTAGCTAATCTGTCTGTGCTGTTGATTACCACAGAAAATAATGGTCTCACCACTTAATTGTTAAACTTGAAGGAAAAGGCGTGTTTACAATAATACATTTAAAGTGGAAGATTATGAGGAAAGGCTTTCTGGATGTTTTTTTTTATTAATATTCTTTGCTTTTTAAAATATTAATTCTTAATATGTTAAGTTTATTTAGTTTCTTTTATATCTTTCCTTTTTGCAGGATGTGTGAAGCGGTAAGTAGATTTTCTATGGTTGTCAACATAGAAGGATGCTTTTGACATGCAAAATGTTGTGCTTACACCATATATCAGCAGGGGAAAAATTGCTTGAAGGATTTTAGAGCTCCTTGAAACTAATCAACTAAACCCTAGTCTCACCCTCAAATGACACCCATGGTCCACTCATTGACTGTATGTTGCATATTCCATAAAAACTGGCAGTCATTTTTGATCTAGTAAGCTGTGATCTTATTAGCCGGTTTTATACAACCTCTGAGAGTATTTTTTAAGCCTGGAAACAAAATCAGGCACTGTAAACCCTAAGAAAAAAGATGAAATGCAGTTGCGATAAATGCGTTAAGAATCCTTACAACTGCAGCAGTGGAGGACTATTATTCGGCTGCGTGATACTACGGAAGAACTGATGAGGGCACGGTTTGAGCTTCAACTGACCAATCAGCAGAAAGGGCCGTTTAATTCCCAGCCATGTGTAGAAATTGAATATTCAAGCTGTTTATTCATTTTTCTACCCCTGAACGAAAAACGAAAAACGAATTAACAAATGATACGGATTTAACTGTATGCCTGCAGTATTCCTATAGTATGCAGACATGCTCCAGCTTGGCTCATTGCCGCAAAGGCATTACCACTAAGCAAGGCCTAAGGGACAATGCAGACTTCCCAGCCAGCACATGACCGACCTTCAACGTTGAAATATGGTTGAAATAAGGTTAGTTGTTTTAACGTTGATACAACGTTTAAAGGAACACTCCACTATTTTTGAAAATAGGCTCATTTTCCAACTCCCCTAGAGTTAAACAGTTTTAGCCATATCAGCCTAGAAAATCGCAACTTTAGCCAGTCTTGGTAAACGATGTATCTACAGAAGAGTCAAGTTTTAAATAGGAAAAATATAGAAACTCTTTTGTCATTTTTGAGCGAGATGCTAATGGTCTAATCAGATTCAATGATCTATGCTAAGCTACAGCTAAAAGTGCTACCGTCAGACCCGGAGATCGGCTGAATGGATTCGAAAACGGTAAAACTCAACTGTTTAACTCTAGGGGAGTTGGAAAATGAGCCTATTTTCAAAAATAGTTCCTTTAATGCTGAACGGTTGAAAACCAGCCGGCACATGACCAACCTTCAACGTTGAAATATGGTTGAAATAATGACAGTTGTTGTTTCAACGTTGAAACAATGTTGAAAAAATGTTTAATGCTAAATGGTTGAAAAAGGTTAACAAACACTTGTAAATCAATGTTGTTGTTTTTTTACAAGATCTGTATGTTGAATTAATTTAATGTCTTCAACAGCATACAAAAGACATATCTGCCTTTTATGGTGTAGCCATATGGCAACATACTCTTTGTGTTAATTTCCTTGCCACTGTCTCTTTAAGAGAACTTTCTCGTTTTTTTTGTTGGAAAGAGAAGACCTTAGTTTAGCCAATGATGTGCTTTGATTAAGTCACATGACATGCATTTTTTTTCTGTGGCGAGATTTCTGACAGACTGCCGTCTCTTGTCGGTAGTTGCTGAAAGCAAACTAAAACGTCAGTAACAAACAAGGACCAGTCCGTGTCACTTCTACAAAAAAATCTAAAACATCACTGTTATGATGTTATGATGACATATTCACCTCTCAAAAAAGTTTTTATAAAATTCGTTTTTGGTAAATCATTCAAATGTATGTGTTGCCAAGCGGCAACACTGTGCAATAGTGGAATGACATTATTACAATAGTTTAGCTAGCTAGCAAGGTCAGCTGCAATTTGTTAAGCTGTAACATGTCATGTTCATAGTCTTCCTCTCAAGAGATTGCATAATGCTGAATTTTCATGAACTGCAATGTTTTTGGTTTTATGTCAGTGTTTTATGATACATTATATACAGTATTATATTTGTTTTAACTGTATAAATTTGCAGTTTAAATAATATTCATGAAAAATGTAATGAAATTAAAACAATTATAAATCATTATTCAGCAAAAAAAGAATAGAATAAATAAAAGCACAAGTTGTTGGAAAGTATGTATAAGGTGTCAATTATAAGTAAGTACTGTGTTAAAGCTTATAATAGCACCAATTGAATCAACACAAACAACATTTCTGAGGAAAAATATTAATTATAAGTAAGCTTACACTTATTCTAAGTTAGATCCACTATTGTATGCTGTTGCCGTATGGCAACATATCATAAAGTACCTTAAAATAATATTTTTTTCCAAAAATTAATCAAGTTAAGCCATTCTTAGAAAAGAAAAAGATTCAAATATTTTTTTTTATAGGTCTATCATAATGCGTGCAGTAGAGGGTTAAATTATTTAAGATCATTATTATTATTTTATTAGCATTTTACAATATTTTGATCATGAAACATTCTAAAATCTAAAGGTATATGTTAAAATATTATCATCATTAACAAACTAAATACATTTCGCTGCATTACCACGCTGAAACAATTTCTATTGGTTGTTTTACCTTTCTAAAAAAAGGTTGTTGTTCTACCTATTGCTTTGATCATGATTGGTTAATCTGGCTGTCATCCAGGAAACTGGCCAATGAAACTGTTCGCGCCTTTCTAAATTTGAAAATATGACCGTTATTATCGTCTTTCAGGCGGCTGACTGTGAGCTGCTGCTCATTAAAGGTGCCATAGAATGGAAAACTGTATTTACCTTGGCATAGTTGAATAATAACAGTTCTGTACATGGAAATGACATACCATGAGCCTCAAACACCATTGTTTCCCCCTTCTTAAGTAAATCTTGTGCATGCAAAAGACCACTGAAAAATAGGCGAATCAGAACATAACACCGACTGTGACGTTACAGTCGGGATCACTAATAGTTAAGCCCCCAACATTTGCATATACCCGCGTAACCCTCCCATGTTCTAGGCCAGCCTGCACAGCCAAATCATCAGAAGTTCTGCAGGTATTTTGAAGAAACAAGCGAGGACAACAGCGAAAATGGCAAATCATGGAAATAAATGTTATGTTACAGGCTGTGCAGGGGATGTGAATTGCAGGGATGGGTTGGTGTCTGTATTCAGAAAGGCACGGAAAGCAAATAACGTGTTCTAATAAAATAACACAAGCGAAGCCACTAAAAAGGGACATGGTTAGCTGCTTGCTAGCAGTATAGCCTGTTACATTACAGTACATAAGATTTCACTTACCACATAAACAGAGTAAGGAGAGATGACTGAGGATGATGGCGAATGATTTACAGATACTGAGCAACACTGACAAGCATCTGATCTTGTCAAATGTGTGGTAAGTACTGCCGCTGTAGTTTACACAGAGCACGTGCGATCGCAAATCTCGAAAGTGAAAGTAAAACTTATGAGGTTGGCTACCGACCCACAGAAGACCATCCTCCTAAAGCTTCTACTTCCTGTCCCAGTCAACGTAGAAGCAGCTCGAGGAAAACGTCTTGCAGCGGTACCAGCTCTCATTCCAGGACCAGTAGGCGTTCCATTACCTCCACTGGCGTTTATCTTCCACCAGAACTCTCTAATGTCCAGACTGCTGTTTTGGAGGAGAATATTAAGCAGAGACAGTTTGACAGTCTCCGGCAGCAGATACAGGAGGACTCACTCGCTGACATGGAATATCAGCAGCTGCAGACAAAAGCAAAAGAAGCTCAGCGCATTCAAGAGGAGGCTCTCGCAGTTAAGGAGGCTTTGTCCAAGCATCTACAGAGACAGCGCAAGCTGCAACAAGCAGAGACTGAACTCGAGATAGCAAAGCTTGTATCTTCCATGCTTACTAAAGATTCTGGTTCAGCCACTCCTGTGCCTTCAGGCTCACCAACCAGCACTTTGCCTCCACCTCAACCTAATCAGAGTAGTCCAGCCATGAGTCCACAGTCTCCCTCGTTGTCTCAGCAGCCCTTTACTCAGTCACCAGCAGTGACATCATCCGTACGGCCTTCCTCAGCTGATCAGATAATGCTGGATGACGCGTCACAGCTGTCACTTAGACCACTTGCGCTGAGATTACCTACCACTGAATCCGTGAGTGTTTCTTTTCCTCTAGACTGCTGCGCACCCCATGAGTATGAGCATGCTGTCTGTGCCACAGCAGCCTACTACTGCCGCCTACAAGTCCATATGTGATACATCAATCATTGATACCTCCAGTGAGTACACATGCACATCAGCTGCAACCTCCAGTTACTAGCCAGCAGGCATCAGCTATGCCACCTAATGCTAGCTTTGCTCAGCCACCCTCATTCCTGCACCTCCCCCACACACATTCTGCATACCCTGGTACAGAGCTACTGTTTGCCTCAGCTTATGGCATCCCACAACCTAAGCTACCAGTGTTTGAAAGTGGTAATGAGAGTGACTTTGCCCTGTTAAAATTGGCATTGGACAATTTGTTAAGTAATCACAGCTATCTCAGTGAGCAGTACAAATACCACGTCCTGTTAAGCCATTTGAAGCTTCCCAGTGCTCAGCAGCTAGCTAAAGCCTACATGTATCATCCGCATCCATACTCAGCTGCGCTGCAGGTACTTCAGGACAAGTATGGGCAGCCAAGACAACATGTGCAGTCCGAGCTGGGTGCCATCATGAACAGTCCACCACTTAGACTGGGCGATGCTAATGCTTTTGACTCCTTTGCCTTATCGGTACAATTATTGGTAGGCATGTTGAGGACTCTTGAAGGCCAGAATGGTTACGAGCTCATGTGTGGCTCTCATGTGGATCGTCTGCTCAGCAAGTTGCCACCTGCCTGTCGTGATAGCTTTGTTGAATATTGCCTGAGCAAGAGTATTCTCCAGACAGGCACAGACAAAACCTATACACTCCCTGATCTGGCCACCTGGTTAGAGATTAAGTCCCAGGCGAAACGCATTTCCAGCCGAGCTGCGGCCTTGTTTCAGAGTGACTCACCCAAGTCCCATGGTAAACCTACAACATCTACCCGTCCAAAGGAGCGATCTACACCTGTTCTGTTCACCAGTGAGAGAGGCACAAAGGGCCCTGATGCTGCAGCACAGAAATCTAGCTCAAAGCCCAGGCCATACTGTCCTCAGTGTGATAGCAGGGACCATTACCTCAATGCCTGTGACCAGTTTAAGAAACTAACTACAGCTCAAATTATCACTTGGATTAAAGAGGGAAAGCGCTGCTGGAGGTGTGGCCGAACACATGCAGTGGAGGTCTGCAACCTCAAGCGTCCATGTGGTGTCTGTAAAGAGTTACATTTTACAGTTCTGCATGATTCTGTTAATGACACTTCCAGGGCTGTTCTCATGGTCAGTTTGCCACCTACCAGGATTTACCTTGATCGTCCTAACCGTTCACCCAAGGTCATGCTGAAAGTGGTTAAAGTCCTTCTACACAGTGGTCAACGAACTATGGAAACACATGCAGTTCTTGATGATGGGTCAGAGAGAACAATAGTGCTTCAGCCAGTAGTGCAGCAGCTTAAATTATCTGGTACCCCTGAATTACTCCCCTTGCAGACAATTCACCAGTGCCACACTGAACTCGCAGGATCATCTGTATCTTTTGAAGTGTCGTCAGTATCCAAGCCTATGAGGAAGGCTAGTCTTTTTGGTAGCATCATAGCAGAAATGAATTGCCCTATTTATTCTATTTTTTCTTTCTTTATTTTTTTTATTTGTTTCTTTCTCTTTCTGGATCATATATCATTGTGCAATGAAATTCTGATTTTGGGTAGCTGTGCTTCAGGAATTTGTACTTCAATATACTTTACCCACTTATTGACCCACTTATCTTCCTCTCTGGCCTCTCTGTATTGGTTTTTGTCTCCATTGAGTTAGTTTTCGCTGTAGTTCTTTCTCTTGGCTCTTGAGCTTTTGCTCATTTTTTCTGTTTTGTTCTACGGCATGAGACACATGGTCACAAAACTCTTTGTGTGTGTTAGAGTTTAAACCCACCGCATCCTCCAGCCTGCTCCTTAAGGCTGGTGGCATAGCATCAATCACAGCATGTCTAAACAATGTTGCCATTAATGGGTCTCCTTATGGATTTTGATATAATTTTTGTTAGCTGAATGAAAAATCAATGGATGTTCTGTTGGTTCCCACTTGCTTTGTTCTGCCTTTTTCATCATTGGTCCTACATCTTTTGTTTCCCAATTTTTTCCTACATATACTGCAATATGTGGGACCAAATTAGTTTCACTGAACCATTTTTTAACAAATTCACCTTCTGGTATATATTTTGAGGTGTCGTCAGTATCCAAGCCTATGAGGAAGTTTGCTATACACAATGCATTCACTGCTACCGGTCTGTGTCTAGCAGAGCACGACTGTCCAGTTGCTGCTCTCCAGAAGGCTTATCGACACCTGAAGGACCTGCCACTGCCTCCTATGGACAGAGTGAAACCACTGCTTCTTATTGGGTCTGACATGCCGCATCTCCTGACACCAGTTCAGCCCATATGCAAAGGTCCAGTAAGTAGCCCATTGCTGTTCATACACAACTAGGATGGTCTCTCCAAGGCCCGATGAGTCCCATGCAGCCCTCACGGGGAAATCAGCAGTGCCTCCCCATTATGACAGTTCCAACCCGTGATGACCTGATCCATCATGTGGAAAGACTCTGGCAAGTTGACACCCTCCCATACAATACCAAGATGGTTACCAGGTCCAAACAGGACAAAGAGACTTACACCTTGCTGCAAAATGCCACCATCAGAGTGACAGTGGACTGTATACAACGATATGCTACCCCATTGCTGAGACGAACCCCTCTGAGCTTACTCCATGCAGATAAAACAGCGGTTCTTCCCAGTTTACGGCGTACTGAGCGCAGATTGGCACGGGATCCTGAGAGGGCTAAAGTTTACTGCAGTGAGATCCGTAAGTTGGAGTCAGCTGGTTATGTGGCTAAGATAACTGCCGAGGAAGCGGACCAAAGTGCAGAGTCCTGGTTCATTCCGCACCACATGGTGCAACACAATGGTAAACACAGAATTGTCTTCAACTGCTCCTTGCAACATCAAGGACAGTCTTTGAATGATCAGCTGCTACCAGGGCCAACTTTGGGACCATCCTTACTAGGTGTCCTCCTGAGATTCCGCCAGCACACTGTTGCTATCAGTGGGGACATCAAAGGTATGTTCCACCAAGTCCGTTTGCTGCCTGTGGACAAATCTGTACTGCGTTTTCTTTGGAGAGACATGTGCAGGAAAGCAGAACCTGAGATATATGAGTGTCAGGTGCTTCCGTTTGGCACTACATGCAGCCCCTGTTGTGCCATTCATGCCCTCCAACACCACGTCCAAGGGCACAAAGATGATATGGCCGAATTAGTTGATATTGTGGAACATTCATTCTATGTCGACAACTACCTTCACAGTGTACCAACGACAAGTGAGGCTAAAGCGATAGTGGATGAGCTGCGCCAGCTCCTTTCCGAAGGGGGCTTCGAGATTAGACAGTGGGTATGCAATGTGCCATCGGTAACCCAACACCTACCTCCAGAGGCCAGGTCCGCAAATAGCAAACGCTGGTTAACACAAAGCAGTACCGACCTCCAGGAACTCACTCTTGGTCTGTGGTGGGATTGCATCAATGACACTCTGGGGTACAACTTACGTTCTGTGGAGACTGTTGAGCCTATATATATAAAACCATATATAAAACTTTGGCGAGTCAGTATGACCCTTTGGGGTTCATTATCCCGTTCACGACCAGGGCCAAAGTTATCATCCAAGACCTCTGGAAGCACAACCTTGGTTGGGACGACCCCATAGAGCTGTTACAATTGAGAGAAAGTTGGCTCACCTGGGTAGGAGAACTTCCAACTCTTACCAAGCTGCAGTTCCCTCGAGCATACACCCCAGCCTCTGCTGACAACCCATCGGCCATTCGAGAGCTTCATGTCTTTAGTGATGCGTCGGAAAGGGCCTACGGTTCAGTGGCATACCTACGCAGCACAGATGATCAAGGACAGGTTATAATTACCTTTGTCTTGGCCAGATCTAGAGTAGCACCTTGTAAATGCCTGTCTATGCCTCGTTTGGAGCTATGTGCTGCCCTTACCGGCGCCCAGTTGGGGAAGGTGATCCAAACAGAGTTGACCATACCTGTCCACAAAGTCACCTTCTGGTCTGACTCTACCACTGTGTTGTACTGGTTGACATCTGAATCCTGCCGCTACAAAGTGTTTGTAGGGACACGTGTGGCAGAGATACAGACTTTAACAGAGATGTCTGAATGGAAGTATGTGGAGTCAAGTCACAACCCTGCCGACCACATCACACGAGGTCTTAGACTGACCGAGTTAGCAGGCCATCATCAGTGGAGCTCAGGTCCAGCCTTCCTGATTCAGTCACCTGACCAATGGCCATCAATGCCCAAAACTGAAGGAGAGCCTGACTGCAATGAACTGAAGAAATCAGCCTTTATTGGAACTGTTTCAGTACCTAGTAGTTCTATTCCTGATCCAAGCCAATTCCACACATGGCAAGAGCTCGTCCAGGCCACTGTTAGATCCCTGCATGGGGCGGCTACCACTGACACTGACTCTCCTACGGAGGCTTCTGAATATATTGAAGCGGAAAAGCTACTTCTGGCACAGGCTCAAATGGACTCCTTTCCTATTGAGGTTAGACATTTAAAGGCCGGACATCCTGTTCCACAAAACAGTCGCTTAGGCTCACTTGCCCCTGAATAGGATGATGCCACTGGTCTCATTAGAGTGGGCGGACCGCTACGGCGTGCTAGTGACCTCGACCTAGAGGCCATACACCCAATTGTATTAGACCCTAACCATCATATCACTAAGCTCTTGATCAAGGAGACAGATCAACGACTCCTTCACCCTGGCTCAGAAAGGGTTCTAGCAGAACTGCGCCGCCAGTATTGGATACTTCGAGGCAGAGAAGCAGTTCGTAAACACCAGCACACCTGTCGAGACTGTCAGTTCTGGCGTGCCAAGCCTCAAACCCCACGTCTGGCAGATCTGCCCCCCTGCAGGTTAAATCTGTATAAGCCAACTTTCTATTCTACTGGCATAGACTGCTTTGGCCTATTCGCAGTCAAAATTGGGCGCCGCCAAGAGAAAAGGTGGGGGATTATTTACAAATGCCTAACGACACGTTGTGTACATCTGGATCTATTGGAGCATATGGACAGTGACGCTTTCCTGCTCTCCCTGCGCCGTTTTATAGCCCGACGTGGCAAGCCTATGGAGCTGTTGTGCGACAATGGCACCAACTTCGTTGGAGGTGATCGGGGGTTACGGGAATCCTTTGAAGCCATGTCACTAAAGCTACGGGAACAGCTGGCAGAGCAGAAAATTCGGTTTCACCATAACCCCCCAAATGCTCCTCACTTTGGGGGAACCTGGGAGTGTGAGATAAAATCAGTTAAGGCAGCATTCCGTGAGATCAGAGAGCAGTCAGTGCCGGAACCAGTACAGCAGACCCTTCTGGTAGAAGTTGAAAGCATCCTGAACTCCAAGCCACTTGGCTACGTATACTTAGATATTGCGGATGTGGACCCTGTGACTCCAAACCTACTACTTATGGGTCGTCGAGATGCCTCACTACCTCAGGTCTTGTATGACTCTAACAACCTGCTTGGAAGACGAAGATGGAGACATAGCCAGGTGCTTGTTGATTGTTTCTGGGCTGCCTTTATTCGCCAATACCTCCCAGGCATGCAGGGACGTCACAAGTGGACAGTGTTGGGAAGGTTACTTTGGAAATGTAATAGGTTACAGATTACAAGTTACCCTATTTAAAATGCAATAGTAGTGTAACTTTTTCAATTACTTTATTAAAGTAATGTAACTGATTACTTTTGATTACTTTTTGATTACTTTTCTAAATTTCTAATGAATGTTTATTTGCAACTGTTAATCATTTTCAAACATTTACACCATGCAGGGTTAACCTTACAGTAGTGCTCAGACTTTCAAAATCCTTCCTCACTTCAATTAAGATGATCAAATTTGAACACATCCACCTCAAAATCAGATTTTAGTACCGCCTTTTAATTTGAGATTGATCTGAAGTTCAATGCAGATTTAAAATCATAAGAAATAGTTTACTGATACTTAGGCGCAGAGAGCACGCCAGCATTGCCAGTCACGACTAACCGATTCATGATTTATTAGAGATTTAATTATCGAATGGCGAATTCGGAAAATAATCGCTTTAGTACATTCGGCAGGTAATTATACAATAATAATATTAAAATAGCGGGCCAAATCGGCTGCCAGGCCACCGGGAATTGTCCCGGTTCTTCCGATGGTCAGTCCGCACCTGATTTCCACAGACACGCAGAATGTGCAGGATAGTCTTTTCGCGGCTTAATATTCATAGACACTAGTCCATATCGCGTTTTGATTCAAGTGTACTGACCTACTTTTGATTTATTCGTCCAAAATGTGGCATATTCCGTCCGCGTTAGGCTATAGTCCAAGCCACTTGGCTACGTATCCTCGGATATTGCGGATGTGGATCCTGTGACCCCAAACCTACTTCTTATGGGTCGTCGAGATGCCTCGCTACCTCAGGTCTTGTATGACTCCAACAACCTGCTTGGAAGACGAAGATGGAGACATAGCCAGGTGCTGGCTGATTGTTTCTGGGCTGCCTTTATTCGCCAATACCTCCCAGACATGCAGGGACGTCACAAGTGGACGACCGAGGGCAGGGAACTGACAGTAGGGCAAGTCGTACTTGTTGTAGATCCACAACTTCCACGCTAGCTCTGGCCTGTAGGAACCGTAACATAGACCTTACCTGGAGCTGACGGTAGAATTCGTATCGTCAGAGTCAAGGTTAAAGACAAAACTTAGACTCGTCCAGTTGTGCGATTGATCCCGCTTCCTCATCTTGAGGATAATGACACGAGCACCCCCGATAGACTTTCTTAGAGTGTTCAATTATCTTGCCAGATAATTGGGGGCAGCTGTGTCAGAAAGCCTATTTTAGGAACTAGGAACTAAAGTTCATTTCATGTTTCCTAGAGGGACGATTATTAGTGTTACCTGCCAGTGAAGACCGCTGTCTGTCTTTGTTTATGCTGCTACTATGTTTTCTGTAATGTGTTCATATAATACAAACCACATCTCATTTCATACCAGAGGCATATGCAGATGCATATATTGGAGCAAATAAATGTATCAATCTAAAGACTTCTCCTGCTCTCCTGATTCTCTGACCGGAATCTGGTCCATATTTGGCCGCCAGACAAAACTTACACTCGTCCAGTTGTGCGATTGATCCCTCTTTCTCATCTTGAGGATAATGACACGAGTACCCCTGATAGACTTTCTTAGAGTGTTCAATTATCTTGCCAGATAATTGGGGGCTTTCTGTGTCAGAAAGCCTATTTTAGGAACTAAAGTTTCCTAGAGGGACAATTATTAGTGTTACCTGCCAGTGAAGACCGCTGTCTGTCTTTGTTTGTGCTGCTGCTATGTTTTCTGTAATGTGTTCATATAATACAAACGATCTAATTTCATACCAGAGGCATGCAGATGCATATATTGGAGTAAAATAAATGTCTCAATCTAAAGACTTCTCCTGCTCTCCTGATTCTCTGACCGGAATCTGGTCCATATTTGGCCGCCTCAACCAGTTGTAATTTAAATGTAGTAAGGTTTACTACAGACACTATACATCACTAAGCACAATGAATGCGGTTATTGCTTTCGGAGGTG